CTAACCGGATGACATTTACTAAGCTCTGTCTTGTTTGAAACTTTTTTCATCCCTTTCCCCATCTCAATTCTACTGGTCTCCCCCAGCCTCTATCAGCCAGTTCTTGTCAACACGCACTCAGTGCACATCATTGCTCTAAACCTGCTTCCTGATGGTGACAACAGTGGACCATGCCCAAGCAACGTGTGTCAGCAGGGCGGCCTGAAATCTCCATTGGAGGCCCATGTGACAGCATGACAACACATTCCATAATAGAAGTCACCGGCACTCGATGATATGTGCGAGAAGTAAATCACTTTTTATGAAATCTTCACATGCTTCAAGCAGCCAATGTTCCGGGGCCACGCAGGGCCCTTTCTTCTGGGCGACATAGTGACCTGGACGACATAGTGGTCAGAAGAAGGGGCCCTGCGTGGCCCCGGAACATTGGCTGCTTGAAGCATGTGAAGATTTAATAAAAAGTGCTTTACTTCTCGCACATATCATGGAGTGCCGGTGACTTCTATTATGGACTGTATTTGACACGGCGCCATCCGTGTTGTCACTTCAAGCACCAACCTCTTCATCAAGGTCTGTACGCGGCATGGAGTGCAGGTGATTTCTTATTATCGGTAGCTTGACAACACAGGCACCCAACTGGACGACTGGACAGAATGTTGTCACCCCATAACAGGAAGTGCCTGAACCTTCAACACAGGACCATGTTGAGGTGTATATGAGACTTCATTGATTCCATTTACATCTATTTAAGCTGTAATGGGATTTTTTTTCTGTGTTTTCTCTCATTTTTACATATTTTAGAGGCCAAATGATTAAATATTAATACTTACTCTGTGATGATCCAGATTAACCAGAAGAGGGTTCTGAAAGTCTATGGGCGATAGAACATACATCTACATGAAGAGTCATACAAGTGTGAAGTCCAAACAACTCCCATACAGATGATGAAGTGACGGCTGATCCCGGCCACAGAGGATGGTTCATGAGGTCTCGCCGGCCTCTCTTATAACACTGATAGGAATTGCACTGTGTATAATAGAGGTCACCCACACACCGCAAGGGGTCACCTCATAATTGGTCCCTCCGCTGCTGCTGAGCACAACAACCTCCTGAGCCCTTAACTGTCTTCATTTAAAATACAATTTATAATTATTGTTCCCGGAATATCGTGAATTGAGTTCCCTTTATATGTCAGTGACAGTTCTATACAGCTCTGCAGAGTGCTCATCACACGGGCCGCAGTGTATCATATGGAACTTGTTACTTTGTATCACTTTCTGTGACAAATAGAACTTCCCCGCCACCGACACCGATACAAACCTGTCGGTTGTGTCCACATTCCATCAAGAACTGAACCAACAGATTTGCCTTCAGAGTTTAACACTTTTTCTGGGCTTCATGACTAGTTATACCGGTTATGTCTAGATCTGTCTGCAGTTTAAAGTGTAACTTCAGTCAAAACTCTTTTTTATAAATATATTTTGGATAGATTAGGGAAATTGTAGACCGTCTGCAAGGTTTCTATTGCTAACTCCCTCCCTCCTGGGGAGATTTCCCCTCACTTCCTGTTCCCGACTCATCTAGGCTTTGAGTGTCTGCTAGATGAGTTTATAGAAAATGGTATCCAAGTGCCAAAAACATGACAGTCAACAGCACAAGGAAGAGGGGACGTTGTACGTAGTAGTTACTAAACATTTCCATAGTATTCGAGGCTGAATAAAGACACAGGTCCATCAAGTTCAACCCATTGTGTGTCTGTGTGTGATTGCACATGTGTATGCGTGTGTACGAGTCCCCGTGTGATCTTATTTTTTAAGAGTACCTGTACCCCTGTATATTACCTGTACCTCTGTATATTACCTGTACCCCTGTATATTACCTGTACCCCTGTATGTTACCTGTACCCCTGTATATTACCTGTACCTCTGTATATTACCTGTACCCCTGTATATTACCTGTACCCCTGTATGTTACCCGTACCTCTGTATATTACCTGTACCCCTGTATGTTACCTGTACCCCTGTAGATTACCTGTACCCTTGTATATTAATTGTACCCCCGTATATTACCTATACCCCTGTATGTTACCTGTACCCCTGTATGTTGCCTGTACCCCTGTATATTACCTGCACCCCTGTATGTTACCTGTACCCCTGTATGTTGCGGTCTCTGAGGAAATTGTCTAAATGCATTTTGAATGATTCCAGACTCTCAGCTGATACCACGGCTTGCGGCAGAGAGTTCCAGACCCTAACCGCTCTGACTGAGAAGAACCCCCTACACCCCTTGTGCTGAAATCTTTTCTCCACCAGTTTTAGGTGGTGGCCTCTAGTCTTTGTTATGGAAATTACTGAAAAGAGTTTGTTGCTAATGTTGCCATCACCATTGAGCATTGTGTACATCAAAATCATGTCCCCCCTTAATCTCCTCACTTCCCGCATGAACATGTTTACATTTACTAACCTCGTCTCATAGCTCTGGTCCTTCAGCCCCTCCCCCTCCTCCTCGTCTCCTAGCTTTGGTCCTCCAGCCCCTCCCCCTCCTCCTTGTCTCATAGCTCTGGTCCTCCATCCCCTTAATTAGTTTGGTTGCCCTTCTCTGGACTCTCTCCAGCTCCAGGACGTCCTTTCTGTGGATTGGTGACCAAAACTGAACCGCATACTCCAGATGAGGCCGAGCCAGCGATCTATAAAGTGGCAGAATTATTGCTTTGTCTCTACAGTGCATTCCCTTTTTGATACAGGACAGATCGCGGACAAGGTAAGACCTGTACGCTGTATTCCCGAGTGTGGCTCAGGGGTTACCGCTTTGTTAACCCCGATCCACACTCGGGAATACCAATGGAAACGCGCGGAAAACGCCCCAAAGAAGCTCCTGTACTTCTTTGGGCATAGGCTGGAACCACGCCCAGGTGGGAACCATGCCCATAGGAAAGTATGGGATTTCACTTGCTGGGCGTTTTACAGCGCGTCAATCAGCGTTGTAAAATGCCCAGGTGTGAACCAGGCCTTACAGGGGGCGTTAGGGGGTAGACCCCCACACAGGCATCGAATCTCCTTTGGTTCAACTCATCTTACTTTGGTGTTAGGCTTTGTCCCTGGTGGCCACTCTAGTGACAGGAGCTCAGAGGATGGTAGGGCCAATCTTAATGGACAGGATGGTGGACGGGCAGGTCTCAGGCACAACGTTTAGCAAGCCAAGCAATGAGGGATTAAAGCAGGATGAGGGAGGTCCATAGAAAAGACTCAATAAAAGTAGAGGACACTTTATGCGTCACTTGGTCCACTTATTCTCTGTGGTAATAGAAAGCAGAACCTTCATTATTCCGTCCTCTATAATGACATCAACATATAAAGTTCTACAGACTCTGAGATTGTTTTTATTGGTATAAATCAGAGTTAAAGTACAACAAGTAGAAGAGAGTTTTTACATTACAAAGATCGGCAGATTGATGACCAATGTCGTGGTTCCAGTCAGCGGGGAAACAAAGGGATATTTCATTCATATTTGTGATGTTACATTATTTGTTCATATACTGTAGATGGTTTTGGGGTTAATATAAATGGTACCTAATGGGTTAATGTGTTATTAATACATTGTCAGGAACAAATAAGTCTAGCAGTGTACATCATCTACATTCCTCCTCGCTGTCCCCGTTACCTGTGCCGGCCGTCATTTCTGCAAACTTGTCCATTGAATTTTCTCTGACCTGTCTTTTCTGCCCTTGGGGTGTCTACGTTGCCTTGTAGGGGCCCCCTGGAGCTCCAGCATAGCCACCCCTGTGTAGGCACTACCAGATGTGACTAACCTGATGTGCTGATACACACACAGGCAGGCCTGAACTCCTTCATCTCAGGCCACTCCCCTGCTCCGCCTCTAAATGCTTTGAGTGACAGCAACTTTTGGGACAGTGCTGTGCCATCTCTAATAATAAGTGCCTGTCATCTGACCCGGGTCATGTGACCTTTCAGTGACATCAACCATGGTTGCTCCTCAAATGAAAGTTTGGGCGAAGCGGCATTGAGGAGAAACCAAGCAACATTATAAATCGGAGTGTCTGGGGATAAACTGATGACGGTAAACTTGAATTAGTGGACATAAAGGAAAACATGGTACTTGTTGTGAAGGTTGGTGGAATTTGAAGGAGAGTTTCTTTCACTACTTGCTTCCTTTACGGCTATGACAGATCCTATGATTTAATTCTAAGAGCCATAAAGGGTTTTCATGCCACCACTTTGAGAACACTGACAGTGAGGACTTGGGAAGAGAGTTGTTTGGGTAGCTGCAGGCCCTATCCGAGAGAGGTCTGCAGAGCATTCCCCAGCTAGCTGTAGCCAGGGCGGGTCACAACCCCATCTTTGGAGAGCACTCCTCAGCTGGCTGTAGCCAAGACATGTGACCACCCCATTTTCGGCACATTACCCCCCTAGCTGGCTGTACCCAGGGCATGTTACTGTCCCCTTTCTGGATAGCACCCCCCCCAGCTTGATGTACCCGGGACATGTGACCATCCCCTTTCCACATAGCACTTTCCAGCTGGCTGTACCCAAGGCATGTGACCATCCCCTTTCCAGATAGCACCCCTCAGCTGGCTGTACCCAGGGCATGTAATTGCACCCTTTTCGGATAGCACCTCCCAGCTGACTGTAAACAAGCAGCTAGAGGCAAATTTTGTCAAAAATTTTACCTTTTCCCACCCTATTCAAAGCAAAAAAAATGGGTTTGGTCCAGTATGCCCTAAAAGCCCCACTCATGCTGTTTGATGCTTCAAACAAATAAAAATAGTTTGTACAAGTGTTTCCAATGAGCCTATTTATTAAGGAGTCATTTTTTGTTTTACTGGCTGTGTGCTGGTTTCAGCGTCCTATAAGATTCCGGATATAAAAAAATAAACCAACATCTCATTGTAACCCGATTTTTTGGTCTTTGAAATAAACACGCGCCAAAGGAAATAGTTTTGATAAATGAGATCCTATTGGTGATGGAACTCGTAGTAAATTCTATTTTGCACTTCGTGAGATGAGATTGTAGACTGCACTTCTGATCTCCTTGGTCTTCACACCATAAATGATGGGATTTATGGCTGGTGGGATGAGCACGTAGAAGACAGACATCATGATATGAATATTTGGGTTAATGTTACCTATCCTGTAGGTCACGGAGGAGAAAAGCCCCAGGGTGTAGGATGTGAGGAAGATGCAGACATGGGATGTGCATGTGCTAAAGGCTTTATGTTTGGCAGCCCGAGAGGAGAGCTTTAATACTGACCTCAATATGAAGAAGTAGGACACAGCAATGAGGGAGACATCAATTACAGTAACCAACAAGACAGCGGTTAACCCAAAGACACTATTGATAGTAATATTGGTACAAGCCAACGTCACCACCGCCATATGGTCACAATAGCAGTGGGCAATATGGTGTGTCTGGCAGTACGGCAGTCTACTGGCCAACACTGGGCATGGGGCCACTAGAATGACTCCTCTTATCAGGAGGACTATGATTATCTTTAATATCAAGGTGGCAGTCAGTGTGGTTGTGTAATGGAGAGGGTCGCAGATTGCCACATATCTGTCGTAGGCCATGGCCAGGAGAATTCCAGATTCCAAAGCGCTGAAATAGTGAACAAAGAACATTTGAACGAGGCAGGAGAGGAAGGAGATCTCCTTGAGATTCATCCAGAAGATGGGCAGCATTTTCAGGACAATGGTGCTGGAGACAGTTACGTCAGTGATGAACAAAGTAAAAAGAAAATAGTACATGGGGCTCTGTAGTTGTTTTACTGTCGCAATCAGGAACAGCAGCAGACTGTTCCCGAGAAGTGCCATCAGGTACATGATGAAGATGGGGATCGATATCCATACATGAGCCCACTCGAAGCCTGGGAGGCCTTCAAGAACAAACACCCTGGGGTAGAAGACTGAGAGGTTTTTTGATGACATGGCCGAAGACATGGTGATTACCTGTAAATATAAAAAGACATTAGTGATACATAAAGGGAAATCCAAAGTGCAGACATCCCATAAGACTGAACATCAGAATATATCGAGGAGATACATTTCATAAAACCTAAGGTCACAGAAAACTATATTCACCTAACTTCATCATTCTGATCTTATCGTATGGAGGATTGCCGGGGGTCATAGGTGTGTTAGCTAGTACAATGTCATCTTAAGTTCCCTTAGAGGATCTGATGAACTCTTGCTGCTCTTAGGCTCCATTCGTAATGCTATTGTTTCATCTGAAAAATCCCGGGGGAAATATTGTGGTGACCATCAGTCGGTTGCAGGTATTGTGTTAAATCTTTAATATCATATTTATCATGTACAGGTGAAACTCGAATAATTAGAATATCGTGCAAAAGTAATGGCAGTAAGTGCTGCAAAAGGGGCCCAAACCAAGTACTGAGTACATATGCATGCTGGTACTTTTCAGAGGTCCGATATTCTTCTATGTACAATCCGTGTTTTATTGATTGCATGTAATAATCTACTTTTCTGAGGTTGTGGATTTGGGGTTTTCATGAGCTGTAAGCCATAATCATCACAATTATGACAAATCACGGCTTGAACTATCTCGCCACGCATGTAATGAGTCTCTCTCATATATTAGTTTCACCTTTTAAGTTGCATTAGTGAAATAAATGAACTTTGCACCATATTCTAATTATTCCAGTTTCACCTGTAGTTATATATTTCATTTATACAAATAGGCCTAAATATTCCAAGTTAAATGTATGAAAGAGAGCTTATGCTATTGATTGCTTCCAGATGTGTCTACTCCTCTTGAGCCTGAGAAGTTTAGAAAGGTCACGGAAAAGGTCAAGAAAGGTCCTAGGTCACCTTTCCAGAGGACGGATAATTAGGCTGCATATGTCATTGATACTTCTATGTAAGCTATTGTGGTATTGTGTGGTGTGGCAATCCCACAGTGGAGCTGGGGGGTTGTAGTCACCCAGGACTCTCAGCCAGAGAGACTGAGCAGTTCCAGGAAACAAATTATTTTGCTGGGAAAGAGCTGGCTTTGCAGTTCTCTCCAGAAAACCTGGATTTGGTATGGGATCCTGGAACTGGGAGATTTCAAAGAGAACTGGGAGGGATGAAATCTCCATTCCTGGGGCCATGGTTTAGTAGGGGCCAGAACCTAATGATTGCACACCTGTGCACAGCCCTCATGGAAAGGGTGCTGGCTAGTGTTCTGGGCTCCAGCTGGGAAGAGGAACAGAGGTGTTCAGGAGTCAGGAGGACTCCACCCAGACGTCAGAGGGGAGCCAGGTGGCTGTGTGTGGAGGCACCTCGTAGACAGCCGAGGAGACAGAGAGCCAGTGACACATGAGGGATGTGTTTGAGTGCCCACGAGGGGAGAGGTCAGGAAGGTCGGTGACCCTAGGACCGCTACGACACACTGCTGAGAGAGCAGAGTGAGGGCTCATAAGCGAATCTACTGAGCCATATAAAGGGAACTGTCTTATGTTGCTGCTGATGCAAGATATATTTCTGTTTGCCCTAAATAAACTGCATTTGATTTGACTTACCTGGACTACAGTGGAGTGTCCTTGTTACACTATATACTGTTTGTAATATTTCTTGGGAGCTTAACTGTCAATCTATATATGTTTATATTCAATGATGGACAGGTACGGAATGTTTCAGTTAATGACATGCAGAGATTGGTAACAGATGTTTGTACGTCAATACAATGATGCTATCGACATTGAGTTCGGGATACACGAGGTGGGAGTAAGACCAAGACTGAGAGAGGGGGGCAGGGCCTTCCTTAAGGGTCTCCCTCACACACATGCAGGACACAAAGCTTGTACAGGACACTCACTCACACTCAGACTCACACACTGTAACGAGTCCGGGAACCGCGAGCCGCTTGCTTCCCAGCCTGGAACGCATACTGCGCGCTCCACTTCCGGTGGTGGCGCTCCTATGCGTTCCAGGGTGGAACGCGGAAGTGTCAGCACGCTGCATAGCACCACTTCCGCGTCCACGGACTATTTAAGGAGCTCCAGAACGAAGGTAGGGCGTTCCATTATTGGGTTCTATGCCCAGGAGCCTCATCCTCTCTCCTACCTGCGACAGCTTCTACCACACAGGATCAACACTGCACGGGACACTCCAGCAACTCTGAGAACACCAGGGGATCCTACTACTAAGAGCAAGTACTAGTGTTGAGGGGGATTACTATCTTGTCTATTGAGACTTTCTGTCTGCCGTTGAGTTTGCTTTTAATTGGAACTGTACTGTGTTTGCTACTGTTTGGTAGCAGGCTGTTACCTATCCAGTTAAAGTATTACCGTTCATTTGCCTTACTACATTCAGACTGTCTAAGTCAGTGGTTCTCAACCTTTCTAGGGCCGGGACCCCTTGGTAACATTTGCCAAGTTGTGGGGACCCCCAACCGTAAAATTTAGGGTTGACGCGGCGGCTGCAGCGACATCTGGCGGCGTGGCGGGAGAACTGACACTGCTGCGCTAGGAGAGGGCTGAGGAGGACCGAGCACAGCAGAAATCACACAGCGACCCCACAGGTTGAGAACCACTGCTGTAACAGCTAAAATGGCAAACCATATAACACAAGCCGAGGGTGTCAGCTTTTATTATTAATAATAATGATGATAATCTAATAGTTGGAGACTCCCGGGCGACCCCTGGCAAATTGTCATTCGACCCCCAAAGGGGTCCCGACCCACAGGTTGAGAACCGCTGGTCTAAGTGGATTTCCTTGTACCTACCTTACTTGCAAGATACCTAACTAGCTTATGATATTAATAAGCAGTACTAGGCCTGGCGTTATTGTTTTTGTTTTGTGGTATATGATGCAAGAATCCCAAACTCTCCGTTCATAAGGGAGAGAGAGGCCTGGTATTCACGACTGATTGCCACCCCCGAAACCAAAGAAGGATTTGGTCCGCAGCTGTGATCCAATATAGCCCCAGAACTACAAGGGAGCATCACACACACACATGCGTTCTTACAAAGAACTTACAAGAGACATACATATACAGATACAATCTCATCACACGAAGACGAACGTCACTATTCTACATACTTTGCTACATTTTACACTTACTTTTGCTTTATTCATTTGATATTGGACTATTATCTATCTACTTATTTTTGTACACTTTTGAACATTTCAGTGTTGTTTGATGACTTTACAGAACTGAATAAAGTCACACTTATTTTTGGACTAACTGGCCGTTTCAGCAAGTTTCTTATACAATCACCTCAAGACACTTGTAACATATAAGTGTCTAAAATTCTAACATATTGCAAAAAGTAAAACTTCTTATAATAGAGGTTCCTGCAAAGAAGAAAATAAATACTCACTGTGATGGACTGAACCGTCACTGGGGCTGCTGGAGGAGCCTGAGGGCTAGCCTCCTTCTTACTGACTATGGACATAGGAATATGGAGACCCCTCTCCTCAGACCTCTTGGGGTTACATGGAACTAAGACTTGAGGGACTGTTCCTGGAACCCCCTCGAGCATTGCTATGTACGTGTTCCCCTTTGAACTAATAACCCTGATTTATGTGTGTTTATATGCCGCATCTTTCCCCTGGCATTATGTTTTATAGACTTGTGCGCTGTAAAAAAATTTGTTCTGTTTCGTTCCGTTTCGTAATATCCATTATTTCGTATTTCGTAATTCGTGTCCGAAACTCAATTCGGATTCGTACGAAATACGAATTTTCGTTAGTTTCGGCACATTTTTGTAACTTTACGAACATTCGTTATGGTGAAGTTAAAAAGCAAAAATACCTTTGTTACTATTGGAGTCGATGTGGTAGTTGTTTTTTTATCCGAAATACGAATTCCGTTAACGGATTCCGGATCCGAATTTCGTATTTCGGACGTAAAAACTACCATCAGCTCCAATATAAATGTATTTTGCTTTTTACCTTCAATATAACGAATGTTCGTAACGGAATGAAAATACGTCAACGGAATTTCGTATTTCCTGCCTGTGTATTGTAATGCGACTCTCAGCAGCAGCGGGTGCGTATTTCGGATTTAAAAACAAATCTTGTCACGTTGTTCCTCATTTACAGGGGTAATATTAGTTCCCGTTTCAAAGAAATTCGGATCCGAAATTCGTTAACAGAATTTCGTATTTCGGATATAATTCGGAAACTGCAATTCGGATTTCGGATGCTTCCGGATTTACGAATTTCAGGAAAATTCGTACGAATTTCGATTCGTAACGAAACGAATCGCACATGTCTAATGTTTAACTCACCCTGTGCCCATTAAAGTTAGAGGCTGTGAATCCAGCAGTACTGAATGGGGTTTCATTTTGGACTAAGATTCCCATTGAACTTGTTACAGTTTTTTAGTCCCCAGGGCCGGATTGTCATGTACCTGTCTGATCAGCTCCTGTTCGCGGTTTGAACCCGGGTCTCTGGCATGGCTCCTGACTACTCCCCTGGATCCCGACTTTGTACCTCGCTGCCAGACTGTTGTCGACCATGCCTGCCTGACCATGTCTTCGCTTTATCCTCAGCCTAAGATCCACTTCAGACTCAGCCTACTACAGGTGTGTTTCACTGATTTCCCACAAGGCCAACCAAAGCCCGGCCTCGGGGGCAGCAGGGTGTAGAGGGGCAGCAGGGGTGTGGAATTCCTACCTGCTTGTTCTGTACAAGTGATCTTGGTGACATTGTATGCAGCCTGCAGGTCTGCCTTTCTCCATGGGGGGGGTT